GGGACCTTCGGGGACCCACAGCTCACAACGTCCACCTCCAGCTCACTCCAGGGCCAAGTCTTTGAAGGGAGCACAGATGCTGCTCAGGTTCAAGTGCTTGTTTCACTCTCTTCTTGTGTCTAAAGGCAAATACCTGAACCTGAGTCGCAAAATGTGTCTGTGTGCTGTGTTTTTTACTAGACAGCAAGATGGCTGGCACGGATGTGTATTTGGGCCCAAAGCCTGATGGGCTGTGCCTGGTCCTGAAGACATGGGGCACCGCCCAGGATGGGATAGGCTGTGCCCTTACCTGGTGACAGCATACCTGACTGCCCAGGGCCACTGGGGAGCCTGTAGAGAGCAGTTCTCCCTGACTTCCCCAGAAGCTGGGTGGGGCCCTCAGGCGGAGTGTCTGTCCCAGAGCAGGTGCTGGGCAGGTCCGGTTGCCTGGGAAGCCACCGAGGGCTCAGGGACAGCAGCAGATGGTCACTGGGGCCGCCCGAGGGACACCTGTGCTCAGTAAACACTGCTGAACAGACACCACTGATGGTTGCCACACCCAGTTTAGCAGAAAGCTGCTGGTCTTACCCAGCACGTATGTGAGTCCACACTGTCCTCACAGGCAGGTTTGGGACAGGGGGAGACAACGACACCCCCTCCTCAGCTGCCCACCCTACACCTGCACCAGCCTGAAAGCGGGGCCGCCTGCCTCCCCTGAGCACAGGACCCCAGGCTCCCATCAGAAGGGGGAGGGCAGGAGCCAGTCTGGGGCAGGACAGGGCAGGCTGCTGGGGCCCTGTGAGCTGTCTCTGGAGGGGTCAGCAGACAGGTGACGGGGACAACGGGAGGGAAGGGTCTTACCCCAGGGAGCAGGCACAGGTGGGCAGGCTGGGGCTGTGGGGCGTCCACTCTCAGGTCTCTGAGGGTCAGGGCTGGACTGCTCTGAATGGGGAGCTATTTCCCAGTTAACTCTCCTGCTGGGGCTCCCCTCCCCTCTCTGTCCCTATGGAGGGGCTCAAAGCTCGCTGGCACATTCTCAGGGGCTACAAATGGGGATCCATAGAACCCACCCTCTTCCCTGTGGGGCTGAGTGGGGGTCTGAGCCCCTGGGGTGGGCAGAAGCTGCTGTAGGTGTGGTGGTCAGTCCTTCCTGCCCCACAGAAGATGCTGAGAACTATCCAGCCCAGAGCCCCCAGGGAGACCTGAGATAAAGGAAGCCCAGCAGGAGGGACAGACTGGTCAGTTGGGTGGGGTCCCCAGGAAGTTGGGCTGGCAGGAAACCTGCAGGGGCACTGGACCCGGTCAGGGCAGGAGGCTTCTCTGCACCCGTGGGCTCCCCCAGGTTCTGAGGAGATGGCGTTGGAAGGATTGATGGGGAGGTTAAGAGAAAGGGGAAGGTCCCCGTGATGCCAGACCCTCAGGGCTGCGGGGACAGGGACAGGGGCATAGCTGACTTGGTCCCCATCACCCTGGAGGGACCAGGGCATGAGCTGCCCAGATTAGAACTCCGTCTGAGGAGTTTCTCCCCAAGAGGCTCAGGGACGGCCCGTGGAAGGGATCCCCCATCACTGGGTGGGAGCGG